ATCTAGAATGTTCCAGCAAATACCGGTCCCGTCCGACTAGATGTAGATAATTCGAGTGTGGAGTTATTTAGAAAGCTTAGTTCCTCTATTCGATAACAAATGGCGCTAGTGCCATCAACTGTGGAGCGCAACAATATTTATTGATAGATCAATTTCATAATATATTAATGTAAAATTAAAATTAAAATTGTATAATTTACCCTTATGGGACTGATATTAAAAAAAATAAAAACAAAAATTTTGAATTAAATAAATAAATTAAAATCTATCGAAATTCAAATAATATTCCACCCTACTTTACGAACGACAATAAAACAATAAATTTAATAGATATCTTTGACCTTGTCACTTCGCAGGGTCACAGGTTCAAGGGCGAATTGTTCAAAAAAATTTTTTTGAAACGTTTAATTCAAAATTTTGTATTTATTTTTTGTACAATATCAGAGCCATAGGCTTCTACTCTGTTCACCTGTTACACCCTATTTTTTCCAAACGGTAAAAAGCCATACAGTATATATAGTATAATTATCAAAGATCGTTTTATTTTATAAATTTTTCAAATTAAAAAAAAATATCTCCAAGTTTTTTCTTATATAGATAGAATATACCTTTGATCACTATTTACATTGCTATCTATTCTGAAGTTTCATCATTCCGGATAATTTATACCTTGGTTGTTTAGAGTTAATGGCTTACAGATAACCCCCCTCAATAAAAATCAGTGGTTTCAATATTAAAGGCAGATACTCCAATTTTATATAATATAGATTAAGTATTTAACTATTAATTATTTCTAAATAATGTTGCGCGTCTAAGTTGATGTCTGGTACCTGGCACTAGCGCCATCTTGTGTCGGGGAACAGAGCGAGGAGGGCTTCCTAGAAAATGACAATCTTAAACTTTCTACCAACAGCGCCATCTAGTATCGAACAGAAGAATTAAGCTTTCTAGAAAAGTCCACGCTCGAACTTTCCGCACTTAGTCGGTCGGGACCGGTATTTACTGGAACATTCTGGATGTTTCGGTGCAAAAGGTGTGTTTAAAGCTGCTTCAAGCCGCGATCGGAGCAGTATTAAATTTGGCGATACAAGCGAAGCTTCGGAGCGAAATAAAGTGAATCAGTGTGATTAATTATTAGTGGCTTTTAAGTTTTGAACGGTGTTCAGTAATTAAAGTGTTAATTTTGGTAATTCAATCGGCAATTTTTAATGTCACGAACCCTAAGCTCGTAACAATAATATCAATTTTCAAGTTAAATTTTTTTTTTTCAAGAATAAGGAATATTCTTGATATGTATTTAATTAAAGGGCAAAGACTTTTTCAAATAACAAGGTCGACCAAATAATGGTAAGTGAATGCTGTGGCCCACTGTTATCTGTATCAACATTTATCAACAAAAAGGTTTTGAGTATATTATTTAATTTTCTATTTCATTTCATTCAATAATACAGTTTAATACAAGTAGTATATTATTTTCACTTTTATGCAGTATTTACATATCTTATCCAACAACATCTATTCACGATTAGAAATCACAATACAGATGCATTGCCATTGTCAAGGTTGCCTTTTTTGGGAGCCATAAGAGCAATTAAACTAATTTTAACGTAGGTCCGAAAAACTCTTAGAGAAAATTTTAAATAAATAAATATATTAATTTTGGCTTCCCAATATATTTACGAAAATTTAATGTATGTATACAAAAACAAAAATAACTTTATTAAAATAGTAATTTACATTCTGTAAATACTAAGAACAAGCACAAGCTAGTTATACCAGTTACTCGACTCCAAAGGGTCAGTAATTCCTTCATGAGGCAATGTAGTATACGCTTTTACAACAATGTCTCAGAAAATTTGCAGACCTTATCTATCAAAAGGTTTAAAATATTTATTAAGCAAAAATTGTTTAGTAAGGCTTATTATACTACTAAAGAGTACATGGTTGATAATAACCCTTGGAAATGAGGTGGTCGCTATCATGTTTTTTCATAACAAAAGTCCCGCTGGGTTTCTTGCTGGTTCTTCCCAGGACAGAGGTTTTTTTCCAAACCAGTGGTAAAAGTAAAAAATTACTTTCGAAAATATTACATATAATCTATATTGAACAAAAATTATTCTATTCCATATTATTTTGGCTCTCTACACTCAAAATTTGAATTAACGCTAAGCAGCTATTTTATGCTGGTATTCTCTTACAGCAAGGTACTTCCCCTATAGCACAATATAGCTACAGCGTGGCTCTACCGCATATCAAAACCGACTGAAAAGCTAAAACTTCAATTTTTATACCATATGTCACTTCTACAACTTATATATCTGACAACACCTGTATGTATAAATCCATCAAGCCATTTAGGCTACAGATTGCATCAAAAAATAGACATATATACACTAGTATTGGCACTGGTACAGGTAAAAACAAAATATTATATGAACACAGAGTTAAAAAAAAGACATGGGAATAAAAAATAAAAATTAGGAAATATTATTACAACTCTTATTTTACATTGGGCGATGCTTGTGTATTTTTTGACATGAAAATATTGTTTTACATATAATGAAAACAGCTTGAGATATGAAATTGAGTTTATACAATGTTCATACTATGTGGATTGTATGTGCTAAGTTTCATCAAAATCAGATAAATAGTTTCAGTAGTTTCTAGTGATGGGTCAACTCGACTTACTAATTTGAGTTAACTGAAGTTAACTCGAAGTGGATAGTCACTAACTCGAGTGCAGTCTGGCAGTAATTGAACGAAACATGCAAGCATACGAGAGCAGATTTCGTTCATCATGCATATATTAAAAAATATCATTAAATTGATTAATTTGTGATACTTAAATTATCATGTCAAAAAGTTAGTGATATTATTTTACGAGGATTGTCTATACTACTTGTACTATTAAATTTAACTACTATTACTATATCTACGACATAAATAAAAATACATAAAGTACTATACACATTTTTTATTTCAATCCTACCTACTGAGTTTAGAAATGACAATTGTCCAAACACATATGCTAGCAACTTAGAAGTTTGTGCCCAACACGAAGTTGGATGGAAGAACAAATATATAAATAATTTGTAACTAATTGACTCCGATTTGTGCCACCAATTCAAGTTGCGTAACTCAAGTTCAATTTGAGCTTGAGAATTTTTACTTGAGTCGAGTTTCCTTCTAATTGGAACATCACTAGAAGTTTCTAATGACTTTACCAAGCCCACAATGGTTAGCCTAGGCTGGGCTGCTTAATGAGGATATCCACATGGTCTAAAATACTTTTGACTTTCAAAACTCGAGAAGTAAATGTAAAATAAAATGACATAATTATACCTATTTATTGTTTTAATTTACCTCACATGCTCCTCTGCACATTTCCAGTAATTTTGGTGCAAACCTCTTAAATCTATGGGAATCATCCAAAGGATTTGTAAAGCTTCAACCTAAATTACTCAATTGGTCATAAGGTAATTTTATACTCTCGCGGTCCTCGTTTTTTGGCTATAGAAAATCGGAAAATTATCCGATTTCGATGATTTTTTAAATTTTCGTTTTTATGGCGGATTTATGAAAAAAAAAAATAGAAAATATCTCATCTGAAGATTTCATATACAACGCGGTCACATTAATTATACTGACGAATGCCGGGCGAGCTAAGGGAGTGCGGGGGCTAGCGGGCGGGGCCTCGCATTCCAGCGATGCGTTAAGTTAATGTGACCGCAATGTAGTTTTATGGCTTCAAATGTGTTCATAAACGCACTTCGAATATAATCGTTCCTGCGCCCTCCTTTCTGCCAAGGAGGGTCCCGTTCGTATACGGCTTGAGATCTCTAGTCAGATCGTTAAGCCAATTCCTAAAAGGTTGAGTTTAGTGGGTAAAAGTCACCACATAACCACGCAGCCGGCTGCGTGGTATGCTATGAGCATTCTCAACCTCTCTCCCCCCGCTTTCCGGAGGGTTGCCCATATTTGCTTCGGGCGCAAAAAAAAAAATCGTTCATAACTTTTGTGCAAAGTACGAAGTTTATATATTTTTTTATTAATCTACACAAAAAAAGGAACCCTAAAGAAAACATTGAAAAATGTTTATTATTTTTTATTTCGATTAAAGTTTTTAGAAGTTTAGTAGTGCGGTGCTTCCCTCCCCCCAACTCTCCCCCGTAGGCCAGTCGAGGGAAGCCCGGTCGACGGAGCCCTGCTTCGCCACCACCACTTCTAAGAGGTTTATAAAAAAATAACCACGAAGGAGTTGGGAGGGGTCTATTCGCTTTTCACTTAACCCCGCCATCTCCTTCTAACCTAACCTGTCCGAGTCGGGATGCCCTAAGTTCCGAGCTCGCTTCGCTCGATGTTTAACACTCAATAAAACACCAAATAAAAAATTGATAAACAAATGTTTCAAAAAATTTATCAATGTTTTTTTTTAAATGTTCGTTTTTTTGTGTAGATTATGAAAAAAAATTTAACAACTTCATTAGATTATTTGTAAAAAAAGTTACCAAGAATTATACATGAATGAGTGCCTTTTCATAAACATTAAAAGCCCTGAAACCAATATAAGTTTTCATTTTGTTTTATTCCTGTCATTGTTTTCATAAATCCGCCGTAAAAACGAATATTGTAAAAGAAAAAATCATCAAAACCGATTGTTTTTCGATTTCTAGAGCTAAAAAACGAAGGAACCGCGGTAGTATAAAATTACCAGTCATAAATAAAAAGTTTACAAGTTACAGAATATAAAAATGAGATTTGAAAGTCACACAAAGAAAAGTTTTACATCGGTATCCTCTGTAGTGATAGTAGTATGCGCTCATAGACACAAATTTCTTTTATTTTAGTATAGATAGTTTGCTTCTTTCGGTAGCGAGTAATGGTGTTCCATGAGAAGGCCTATGTTCAATAGTGGATTTTTCAAAGGCTGTAATGAATGAATGGATGAAAATTAAAAATAAATATTGTGCAAGCAAATGCAGGCATTTGCATAAACTTACCCATGTGTGAGCAATCCAGATTAGAGTCTCATTGTCCAGTCTGGGGCCAATGAGAGGGTTCATTTGCGCCATATATGCACAGAGCCAGCTGAAAATGCAGAACATGATTTTATTATTTAACATAACATAAACACTCACGCCTGTCACCTGAGTGGTACGCAGAGACTACAGACTTCCACTTCCTCCACATACATATACCTGCGCATACATGCTTGTCAATTAAGGGTACTCCTAATTTGGCCCATTTTCAATATATGGCCAATTTAGTTAAAATTTTGCTTAGGATGTCCCTTTCGGACTCTTCCTTTCACTTCTGCAACATAAATTTGCTTTGTCACTCTTTCCTCATTCATTCTTTCTACATGATTTTATTATTTATTAAATAATTTACTATATTGATGTGCATATTACTCCTTGAAAAAACTTATGCCATCAAAAACATAACTTGTAAAAAAAACCAAGTCTCGCAACTTATTTCTTCTACCGTAAAAAGTGATGAGATCCATGTAATACCAAGTCGGTTAATTTATTCAGTCCCTACTTAATGGTCCTTCTTTTTTAAGCTATTACGAAATTAGCTAACTCAACAACATCTTATAGTGACCATATTAATGTTAAAAATCTTTTATGTTTTCAATAAATGGATTGACTTGGCCATTGCATGAAAACACAATGTATCTCACAAGTAATACATATTATATTAAATTAGATTGCTTATTTTTTTAAGTAATATATTTTTATTGTGTCAAGGCCACAGCATCAATCTACCACATGGTAGTAGTTAAATAGATGATGCAGCCCATAAATCCTACACCTTTTGATTAAGAATTAAAATGTAGATACATTATCAATCACCCTTTAGAAGTAAGATGGAATGCCTCACTGCCAGTAAAAAGATTAGTCAAGTGGTCTTTACTCACCATACGAAATACAGTAATATTATGTTGCTATTTCAGTCTCATTGCACAACCACATAAAAAAGTATGAGATATCAAGATATCAAATATGTCAGTTCCTTTATTTTATTAAAGCCCAACTTATACTTACTTATATACTATAAAGCCCAATTTTCACTATGGGATATAATATAATTTATATTACATCTTGAGATATAATTTAATATCGCTCACCGAACTGTTAAATGGAACTGTTTACACTGAGATGTAATATATATTACATCCCAAACCAAAATATTTTTTCGATCGACCGAGCGATAGTTTCAGATTATATTTCGCCTCCTGTAGCCCGCACACTTCTGCGCCTCTGCTACATCCTCAGATCGTCCAATAATGAACACACACTGGTTAAAATATATATCTCACAGTCTGAAGGGCAATCGCAGGATTTAATTTATATCTCAAGATATAATTTATATTGTATCCCATAGTGAAAGGCCAGCTTCAGAATAGTAGCTATAAAGCACTCAAAGCATTGAAATTTCCAAATAACTGCAATGAAATCTGTAAAATTAGCTTCATACTAAATGGTAAAAGTGAAACTTTCACAGAACTAAACATAGAGAGTATGAGTCGAATGTGGAGTATCAGGCGTAGGATTATAACATTGTTACCAAGTAAGAAAATTATTTTATATTCTATTCTACATATATTACATTAAATATTATACAGACTCAAGTTTTCAGTTTTATCATCGTAAGTACTTATAGATTTTTCTAATCAACAAATTTCGTCCTTAATCCTTAGTTTTCATACATCACATGCATAATCTTCATACATAATAGGAAACACAGTATACTGTATTCTATCTCATTCTCTCGCAGACTAAATCCTATAGGTAAATATGTTTGTCTTAATCTTTATGAGTGCATCAGTATTTAAGAATACTTGTGAAATTACAATATCTACCACAGTGCAGTAAATAGCTTCCAATAATTCCGAAGTAAACTCAATGGTCAAACTGTCCAGGTGGACAATTTCCTGTTTACTATATGGTTTCGAATCTAATAACTTTGAAAGATTTATTTATCTCCATATAAATAGTATTAACAAAAGACCTTTGTATAAGCATCCTTCATTAAATCTAAAATGCAGATTAGTACAAACTTGTGTTGACTTGATTATTTTATTGTGCTGTAGTAATACATTAAGATATTGAACAGTTCATAATTTGTGGCACTGATCCAAGCCCTAATAAATAGAAAATTAATAGATAGGTGAAACAACCAAAGTTTGCCATTCAACAATCACCATGATCCCCTTGAGAATTTAATAAAGATAGTTATATTTATAATAAGATTAGTATTTATAAAGATATAAAGATTTGAACAGATTTGACCACTGCACTAATTTTCTTAGCAGTTGCATGTTGTAAATAATATAGTAAACACAAAGGTAGTTAGTACATTTCCTTCCTTTCAATATCAATTATAATAATAAGGTCACAAGATTAGAAGCGTTAGATGCAGTGTTAACACGCTTGATTATTTATGACAAACTAAGTCTTATATTTATCAAATTTAAAATTAATTTAAGAAGATACACATCCCAGTAATAGAAATCAGAAACTTGAATTACTATTAAATGAAGCCATTTAAGTTATTAAAAATATACTTACAATAACCAGCACGTCGCTGCCGTTAACATTAATACCACTTGGATTATTCTGAAATTTAAAACGTTAAGATGAGGAAAAACTTTGGAAAATCTCCTATACTTGTAAGTGAAACCAACTTACCCTCGGTTAGGTCCCTTTGGAGCAAAAATAGGGCAAACAATGCCCACAACGCCCCATAGGACGGTGAAAATGGTGATGGGAACAAATGAAGCACCCATATTTGAAAATTAGAGACTTTATTTTGTTGAAATCAACTTTGATACAATTATCAGCTGCCTCAAAAATGGAGGACTTTTCATAAAGTTGGTAGTATTGTACGTCTTTAGTCATATGACAATTACGTTCGGATTCCTGTACGTACATATACCTTTATCATTTTTAGTTCGGATACTCCATTGAAGTTTAAAAAATATTTTAGTGTCAATAGGACAGTGTGAGTCGGTTTTATAAAAATAACTCTTTGGATTAAATGTTTCAGTGAAGTACACAGGTCAAAAAGATCATATAAAAAGATATTACTACATTTTGGAAGAATAAATAGATATATATAAAAAATATTAGAATAAAACAGACAAAAATTACATTGTTGTTTTAACTTTGACTTTCTTGCGTATTACGAGACAATCCAGACGGAAAGGGCGGAAATTAAAGTGAGCAGAGAAATTTAATTAATAGGTATCTCCATAAATTTTGATAAATCCAATTAGGCAAATAATTATAAAAATTAAAAAAAAAATAAATATAAAAAAAAATAATTTTAAAATAAATAGAAACAATTACAATACTAAAATTTGAATAAACTTAAGTTATACCTTAAGTTATACCTTATCCACAGAAATTATCGTATTTTTGTATGCGATCATTGAATCAAGATGATGAGATATAGTACTGAATAATAAATAATGATGAATACGATAATTATAGTACGTATTTTGACAATAATCGGTAAGCTTTTGTTTAGGGCGACCCTTACTGATTCCGCCTTTCACAAAATCTCTTTGTTAAATTTTCTCATTCATTCTTTCTACATGACCAAACTACATTTCTTTCTTAATCCTGGTCAGAACATCTTCTTGCAAACCACACCTTAATTTTACTACACAATTTCTCACCATGTCATTGAAACACACTCCCAATGGTGACCTCACACGGTAAGTTAGTCATCAGTCGAACTGATATCAGTTCGAACGGATTTAAGCCAAAGAAATTTCCACACAGGGTCAGTTCAATTATTTTTTTAAATATCGCATTTTTGATATATCGATAATTATAAATATATCAATGTTGGAAATTTATATATCGTAAGTTAATATACAGTAATACATCTATTACACCACCCTGAATCAGGGTCATGAATGAAGGGTGGGCGTGGCCCCTAGTTAGGGACGTCAGTTATTACACTACCCTGATTTTGCGCCCTTACTCAGTCATAGGGACGGACAAGTGAAAAAAGTATATATATTTATTGGATCGATATTTTTAAAGTAATTGTAACAAATCATTTATTGTCTTTCGTCCTGCTAACTCTAGTTGCGTAACATGAAAGGGTTATTTCCCGAGCTTTATAGCCTAGGTAAGATCTATTTGCCTATTGTGGCAACTTTTGTATCCCGTGAGAACTATAGTACTTTTTTTTTTCGATTTAAAATTTTTTTTTTAGATTATTTATCCCTTATGTATACATTTAAATGATGATAAAAAATGTCGAAAATATCGATATATCTTACATAAGCTTTAACGTTTTTAATGAGCGATGTTGCATCCTATAGATATGCTTACTTGGAAAAATTACGACTCGAGTAAACTCAAGTTCAAATTCACACAACTCGAATTAAACTCATTTTTTTCTCTCAAGTTTAATTTTCGGGGGGGAGTACGCCGTCGACCATCCCGCGGTGTGAGTGCTCCATGCCGGAAGTGCAGTTTACACAGCGCTCGGTTCGCAAAGCACTCCTCTCCCTGGACATCCACAAGTCAAATGGGCCTGACGGAATCCCCCCCAATTGTGCTGAGGACGTGTGTCGCGTTAAAACGCGTTAATAAAAACTCTGGAGAGTTGGCACCGGTTTTAACGCATCTTTTCCGGTACTCCTACTCTCTATGCGTAGTCCCAAAATCATGGAAGACGGCTTTCGTCCACCCGATCCTTAAAAATAGCGATCGCTCAGACCCGTCAAACTACCGGCCTATCGTCATCACCTCCTTGTTCTCCAAAACAGTGGAGTCTATTGTTAACTGCCAGCTCATGAGGTACCTTGAGGATCACCAGCTGATTAGTGACCGCCAATACGGTTTTCGCCGTGGTCGATCAGCTGGTGATCTTCTGGTCTACCTAACGCGCAGGCAGTAGAGTTCAATGGGGAGGCATTGGCCGTTAGTATGGACATTAATAATAATAATAATAATAATAATATGGCGAGATCGGATGATCCATTCTATAAGGACGTCATTTTTTTTTTTTATAGAAGAGGGGGCAAACGAGCATGTGGCTCACCTGATGTTAAGTGACTACCGCCGCCCATGATCAACCGCAACACCAGGGGAATTGCAGGTGCGTTGCCGGCCCTTTAGAAAGGAGTAAGCTCTTTTCTTGAAGGTCCCCAGGTCGTATCGGTCCGGAAAAATCACCGGTGGTAAATTATTCCACACAGAGGTTGTACGCGGAAGAAAACTCCTTTTGAAACGTACAGTGGTGGACCGCCAAGCATCCAGATGGTGTGGATGGTATCGGGACGTTTGCCGTGTAGTGCGTTCACGAAATTTGGCGGCTGGGATTAATCCGAACAATTCCTCAGAGCACTCCCCCGTGATAGATGCGATAAAATACGCAAAGAGATGCAACATCTCTTCGCAGCGCCAGTGAATCGAGCCGATCGGAAAGCACTCGGTCGTCGACGATTCGAGCCGCTCTGCGCTGGATGCGGTCAAGTGGAAGGAGCTGGTACTGGGGAGCCCCAGCCCAGAGATGGGAACAGTATTCCATGAGCGGCCGAACCTGCGCCTTGTAAAGTTGCAGGCGGTGTGCCGGCATGAAATACTGTCCCGCTCTGCTGAGCACGCCAAGCTTTTTTAGAGGCCAATTTGGCCTTCCCTTCCAAGTGACCACGAAACTGCACGTCACTCGATACGTCGGCGCCGAGGATTCCGATACTGGCTGAGGCAACAAGGGGAGTGCCTTGAAACTGAGGGGATACGACAAAGGGGTTCTTTTTAGCGGTTAACGCGCAAACTTGTGTCTTCTGGGGGTTAAACTGGACTAGATTTAGTCGCCCCCAATCCGAGACTCTGTCCAGCAGAGACTCGACTTCAGACACAAGTTTGTCCCGGCACTCAGAGACGTTTTCCCGAGAAATATTGGCTCGGCCGGTGTAAAGAGGGGTAAGTCCTTTATCATTTCTTGTGATAAAGGACTTACCCCTCTATCCTTAGCCAACGAGCAATGGCAAGACCCGGCAGTGCAGAGCATTTCCAACCGGGAGACCGTATGGAAGGAGAAGGAGCTCCACGGGAGGTTCTACAAGGCTCTACATGAGCCTTTCGTAGACACAGTAGCCTCCCTCCACTGGCTACGCTTTGGTGATCTCTTCGGGGGAGGGTTTTGTCTGTGCAATACAGGATCAGGTTATTAAGACCAACAACTATCGGAGATACATCCTAAAGGATGACACCGTCGACATCTGTCGAGCTTGTCGCCATCCCGGTGAGTCACTTAGGCATGTTATCTCCGGTTGTTCGGCGCTTTCTAACTCTGAGTACTTGCACAGGCACAACCTAGTAGCCAGAATTCTACACCAGGAGCTCGCTCTGAAATACGGTCTCGTGGATCGGAAATTGCCGTATTACAAATACTTGCCGGAAGCCGTGCTCGAAAATGATCGCGAGGCTCTATTGGGACCGGGCCATCATCACAGACTGGACTATTCTTGCGAATAAGCCTGATATTGTGCTGATGGACCGGGCACAGGCAAAGGATATTTTTGGTCGACATTACCATTCCGTATGACGAGAACCTCGTGAAAGCCGAAACAGACAAGCAAACAAAATATCTGGACCTGGCTCACGAGGTGACCGACATGTGGGGTGGTCTGCCGACCGAAATTATTCCTGTAGTCGTCTCTGCAAACGGGCTAATCCCAGTCAGCCTCTCGGGTCATCTGAGGCGGCTGGGACTACGTGGCGGACCGCTCCAGGTTCAAATGCAGAAGGCGGTGCTCCTCGATACCGCCCGATGTCCGTTTCTTTCCCTTTCCCCCTAACCCTCGGCCGTTTGGTCTCCCCTGCCGAGGGCCTCCATCTGGTTGGGCTTTTATTTATTTATGTATTTTTATATTTATTTTATGTTATTGATATTTATGTATATTTATCTTTTCATTTTCATTTATAATTCTAATTGATAGATGAGAAAACTATATAGATACCCCACAATAATAATAAATTTATTGACATACAGATTTAACAAATGTAAGCAAGAACAGTAAGCTAAACATCTAAACAATGTTGAAGGTGAGATATACAAATATTTTCCGTTGGACCCCAAACTAGGATAATCCTGTATCTTGGGGTCAAAAGTATATTCATTGCGAAGGCCTTCGATCGGGTTTGGCACAAAGCGCTTCTTTCGAAGCTCTCTTCCTATGGGCCTTCCCGAGAAATTGTGCGATTGGATCACCAGTTTTCTTGCAGATCGGTGCATCAAGGTCGTTGTAGACGGTGCGAGCTCCGATTACAAGCCTATTAATGCTGGTGTTCCACAAGGCTGCGTGCAATCGCCAACGCTGTTTCTTCTGCATATCAATGATATGTTGCAAACCCGTAACATTTATTGCTACGCAGATGACAGCACTGGTGATGCTCTGTACACCGGCCGTGCCAATACTTCGCGGGAAAACGTCTCCGAGTACCGGGACAAACTTGTATCTGAAGTCGAATCTTTGCCAAACAGAGTCTCGGATTGGGGGCAACTAAAAATAGTCCAGTTTAACCCCCAGAAGACACAAGTTTGCGCATTAACCGCTAAAAAGAACCCCTTTGTCGTATCTCCTCTATTTCAAGGCACTCCCCTTGTTGCCTCAGCCAGTATCGGTATCCTCGGCGTCGACATATCGAGTGACGTGCGGTTTCGTGGTTACTTGGGAGAGAAGGCCAAATTAGCCTCTAAAAGCTTGGCATGCTAACGGACAGTATTTCATGCCGGTACACCGGCTGCAACTTTACAAGG